ATTTCTCTTAAACTCCAAGGCAAAATAAGAAAGACCTATTTTCTTTAGCTTTTTTCTCTCTCCAAAAGGACGCTACCCACCCAGAATCCCAGATGACAATCTTGATCAAGAATTGCACTAAGTGGTGTACAACAAATAGAAGGAAAAAAACCCCTCCTTTTTGAGAATGGAACGTTGCTTCTATACTTTGATCGTGTGCGTGTGTGAAACATTATTTTATAGTTTAACAAGAAATGAAAGAGAGAAATATGAGAGAATTGTCCAGAGCTTAGCCCCTAGCCCATTTCCTTGGCATTAATAAAAGTCTTACTTGTTCTTCAAGCTCCACCCACTGTAGCGGAGGAGGCAGATGGAAGCTTCACCCACCATGGCAAAGGAGGGAGNAACTAATTGATGCAAGATAAAGAAGATGATAGCAAGAAAGGGAGAGAAACCGGAGTAGAAGTAGAAATTTAGGGGGAAGGGGAAGGAAGAGAAAAGAGACGCCACAACAAACCTCAATAATCCATATTCATCTAAAACTAATGAAATTACATGGCAAATTAGGTTTAAATAGTCAAAACAAAACCCTACCTAGAACGGGATTTGGCCAATACAAGCCCAATTACATAAATAGAATCCAAAACAAAAATAAAGTACAACTAGAAATAAATAAAATAGATGATGTCTTCATCAACTCTCTCGGGGTGGGAGAAAAAACTCGATTTTGTCGAGTTGATAGATCACTGTAGGCGCAATCAATTTGAAACTCCAAATGCTTCAAGTCAAGTCACGGGGGACGATCTTTCTGACGAACCAACTACTGAAATTCCATGATTGATAGTACTAAAAGCTGTAGCTTATTCCCAAGAATATAATCTGGCCGGGGGGCGGTCTTTCCTTTTAACAAAGTATTGATACTGGATTTTAAATAATCAATACTCATGTACCTCCTCGTCAAAATTTTCACATGATTGTACATAATGAGGAGCATGAAAAGCACGTCGATCTACCCAACAAATAAAGAAGTACTGAATCTTGCCATCATTGGTCAATACAACACGTTTATCTAAAATAATATCAATTTTATCTTTGTGTGCTCTGACAGATGGTATTGAAGTAGACATATCAAAAGATTCAGTAGGAATTCCCATGTGGAGGTAGAAAATGATTATCAGAGGGGTTAAAATAGCCTTTGTAAGCAACGAAGTCCTTAACAATTAAAATAGAATGGTGGCCAAGATGTGATAAAAGATTAATGACACATGTATTTGAACCAACATACTTTAAAATTTCA